TAAGGATTTTGATTTTTAACAAATTATTGATTAGGAATTGGGAGTTTCATTATCGGACGTCCGACTGCCGTTCCACAACTGAGCGTGTTTGAGAGCATATTCTGCCGCGCATCACCACTATGTCGAACCAACTGCCCAATAAAGTATTTCCGAACCAATTCGAGTCCTTCAAGAAAAGAGCGTACCATTTCTTAAAAGGCAACCGGCAACGCACTTGCGAGCCTTCTGGAAATGTGAGTGTCCATGGCCGGCAGTATCTCTTAACATCAGATGAGCCTCCTGCCCGTTTGCCCCCCTGTTCTATAAAAAAATTGGTTTAATTGCGTCCAATATCTTTTCTTAGAAACACGATTAACACGAATTATTTCATAACGGATTTCCTAACTCAATAGGGATTGAGTATGTCCAATTTGATCGTATCTATTGTAAGGGCTAGTTGATCTAGTTCTTCGGGTAGGAAATTAAACACTCCAATGATGACTTGATTCACTATAATTCACTTCACTGATTTTAAGTAAATTCTATAACTTCAAACTTGAACAAAGGAATTGCCCGTGCGCATGTGTTACAACTTTTATAATCTATTCCCACTTCGGGGGGTTGTTCGAGTCAAATGAGTAGCTATTGCACATGCGCACTTGTAGCAAGATTCTTAAGAATATGTTTATTAATAAATGTTTAGAATTTAATTTAATAAATATAAAAAGCTAAAACTATATACGACTATATTATACAGTCGTCTAAATAACACATGGAAAACAGGAAATTAACAAATTAAAATAAGTCTGCGATTTAAATGTCTGAATAAGTTTAAAAAAACATTTTAAGAGTGGAATGCAGCATTCTTCAATACCGGTTTATTTGTATTGGCTAGACAATCTTTTCTCATATCCTGAACGTGCCAGAAATAGGTCATGTAATTTCCTAACATAACGATTGTGTTGCCCCCCTGCTGACTAGGGTTGCCTCTTTTAAAATGAACTTAACAACAGATATTTTAGGTAACCAATCAAAATATTGATCCGCGTTTTAGTTACTAATAATTCCGCAAAAATGTTCCTTATTGTAGTTTACGAATTTCTGTAGACTTTTTTGTTCAATTGACTTAGTCATGATTTTGATGCCAATTTATCTCTGAAGTTTTCAATTTATATTCAACTGTGCCCTGCGCGTTATAGCCAATAGACTCTGTCCGTAAATTGACTGTAAAACAAAGAGTTATTCAAATCGAACCCGTAATGCCTGAGAGTCGCGCGTTCAAACAAATAAACTTCATATTAGTGTCGATAATTCTCTAATATTTTCACGTTTACCATTTGACATTTGTTTACACCAACATGGTTAGTATTTCTCCATTATCCATTTTTAATTTAAGTTAAATATATAACGAAATAATTGAAAAAAAACTAATCTTGTAACGTTATTTCGCTGATAACTAATTAAAACAGCGATCCATAATAATTAGAAAGTCAAATGTGGCAACCCTATTGGTCAGCTTTGTTGCTAAGCTGATTTACTGAGCGTTGGTCCTCACTTCGGTTACTAGCGAAACTAGTTTCTTATTCTTATTAAGTCTACATAAATTTCACATTAAAATAATAGAATTTTTTTTAACTGTTAGCACCAGAGTTATAAACAATAACTGTTTCGCCAAATATTCAACACAAAAAATTATTAAATTATTTTACCAAAAAATATGTTATTTACTGGAAAGATTTCAAAAATTATTTCACCGTTACAATGTTACGTTATCCCCATGTCCAGCCAATTGAAACCTGGATAGTTTGTACATGTATATCTTATTTTTGGACATGTTGGTCGAGAGAAACATCACGAGAAAACCGGCAGGTCTTATCCCCAAAAACGATGACCGTACAGCACTGGTAGTCTTCTTAAACGTTCAATCTGAAGCCAAGTCCCATATAGGGGATTATTATTGAGTGTAGTACATACAATAATTTCGATTATATTTTTATTAAGTTCAGGCCGCAAGATATTATTGTCGCTGTTATATTTAATGCTTGTTTTATGTATCTAGTGCAGTAATCTCCAATATAACGCATTTTCCGTCCCCCATATAACGCAGTATTCCCCCCCTAACAGTAGCGCTACAACATCTTTAGGTTATGGGCATCAGATTTCTGAATCTGTTTCATGATCATTTCTGAATCTAATAGGCAAGTAGGTGATCAGCCTCTTGTGCCTGACACACGCCATCGACTTTTTGGGTCTAAGACATGACGGTTACCTAACGATGTTTTCCGTCACCGTTCGAGCATTCGTTCGTTCGTATGTTAAATGCGCACATAGAAAGAAAGTCCATTGGTGCACAGCCGGGGATCGAACCTACAACCTCAGGGATGCGAGTCGCACGTTGAAGCCACTAGGCCAACACTGTTCATTTCCCCCCTATAACGTGAATATTTGTCTAGTTATATTTCTGTAGTGTGAAATTTATAATGATTAGTAAGTCCATTTTAATTATGTTATAAGATCTTGAATAGAATTTTGAATGAATATATAAAATGATTTATAAGTCCTTCCATATAGGTTACCCCTGACACAAGAAATTTGTATTTATTTAAAAGGTACCTACTAGACTTGCAACGAATAGTATATTCGGCAGTATACCGAATACCGAATAATAATATTCGGCGAGGCCTCTGACCGAATAGCCGAATATTAGGAAAAAGTATTCGGCTGGATATTAGCGCCAAAAACTTGTGAAAAAATGAAATGAAAAATGTTTATTTGTGTCTCAAATTTTGCATTAAATACATGAGTTGAGACAACCCCCGTAAGTAGTCAGAGACACTTGTGTTGGGGTTGGCTCGCTACTTCCCTTATTTATACAACTGTACTTGTAAAAATGCAGAAAAGTTAGTCTTTCTGCAACATAACCTTCCCCTTCTAAAAATTTAGATTATGAAAATAATTCAAATGCATAAAAAAATTCTTAACTTGTTTAATACAGAAAATGATTAAATTATGTACCTGTTTTATATACCAATGACTACTTAATGAATGATTATAAAAGAAATGAGAACTTTACCGTTCTAAATTTTAATTACCACAATAATTCAAATACATAGAATCCTCCATTTTTCCAATTCAGAAGATGATTATCTACCTGTGTTATGTACCAATGACTACTTAAATGATTATAACAGAAATGAAAATATGAATATACGTTATACTTAATCAATCGATTTTAATCATTTTATCTTTCTCCATACCAATATTTTATTTTATATGTGTATTCGGTATTCGGCCGAATATAATAAAAGCAGCCGAATAGGCCGAATACCGAATATTCCTTGCAAGTCTAGTACCTACACATACATAATTCTAGTTAAGCTCAAACTAAGACTCCAAATAACTTTATTCATATAAGTAACCAAGTACACTTATGAACGTCAACAGAAAAGATGTAAAATTGACTCTAAATTTACATTTACTACCAGTTCGCAAATCAAGGGCGTAGAGCGGCAAGAAACTCTCCGTCACTCTTTTTAATCGCCAAGTTTTGAGTCATACAAATTGTTTGAACTGGAGCAAATCAATCTCAAGGATTAAGATCACTATAATCATCAAATTTATAAAGTGCTATTGATTAATTTACGTTTAACGAGAGTTTTGAATTTATTCAATGTTAACTCTCTAATTTCGCTTGGGAGTTGTAAAAACGAATACAATTTCGATATAAGGAGTGGTTTATATTCTGGAGCCTGATTGTTCGTACTCTTAGATTAGGTCTCTTTCGGATACTATGGTTTAAAATAATCAATTTTGAATTTTGAGTTATAAGCGAAAAAGAGGTTTCATTTGAAGTTTTATGAAAAACTATCAGCAAAAATCTTTCAATATGTGCATATTTTTACATTATAATTATATTATAAGCGCTAAGTATGACTTCCGCGTGTTTATAACATATGACTTCCCGTGCCTTACCGACTTAATATACTTACTAGTTTTGGAATAAAAAATATTCTATTAATGATTATTTGAATTATACATTATAATTAATATTAATTTGATAATGTAATAATGTGTTATTTTATCACTACAAATAATATAGGAATTAACTATAATGATATGACTCATAATGTAAATTCTATGTTAAATTCCTTTTAAGACTAATTTGCACGCCTTTATATGTGGCAGAATATGCGAAGCTTCGATTGTACCACCATAATATTTTTGTACCGAATTCTTGCAAATAAATGAATATTATTATTATACCGTTTTGAGTTTTGACTCTGAATTCTGATGATGATAATTCTGATTAAGACGCAGAAGAAGACTTAGCTATGACTCCGGTATGTCAAAATGGAAATTAATTTCTGACTGGCACTGCTCATGGTTTTCCTCAGAATAAAAAGTGGCTGAATTTTTATTACTCTTGCTGGAGGATGCATATAGGTACAGTGTTATGAATACATACGTATGCAGGCCGTCATGTGTGACGGTACGTAATCGATCAGGTTTCTAATTATGACATAATAGTAATCTTTGAGAAGAATGTACTTGGCTTGCCGACAGATATTTGGTTACCGAGGCCTTTTTTATTTATATTACAAGGGCAAACGGGCAGGAGGCTCACCTGATATTAAGTGATACCGCCCATGGATACTCACAATGCCAGAAGCTTCGCAAGTGCGTTGCCGTTCGTTTCAGACTGTTCTCCTCGACATAGGCCTGTCCCTTAAATTTCCAGTAGGTATGACGACGTACGATCAAACGACTTCTCTCGCCCGCACTTACCAGGTCATCTGTCCACCTAGCGGGAGCGCGCCGACTGGTCTTCCGCCTCCATTCCAGAACTTTTTTGATTTATATGAAATATTAATCGGGCCTCGACACTTATATCCTTTTGATGTTAATTACGCTAGACTTAAATGTCATAAACATCACACAACTGCATCATTGAATCAAAATTGTAATGGCCTCACTCGATGGTTCCAGGTCAACAGCCACAGGAGCAGGAGTTGGCGACGAAAATGCTGCAGATCCAATCCAAACGATTCTACCTCGACGTGAAACAAAACCGGAGGGGGCGGTTCATCAAAGTTGCTGAGGTACGAACATTAAATTGATAAATAATATTTGCAATTGGTTTTAAACTGTGACCTGTATAATGTAAGTAAATGTTTACCTACCTTTGTGTAACTTCTTAGACCCTACAGTTATTTAATTTATTTAAATAATAAAACTATTCATGACAGAAATATGGTTGTGAATTTATATATCGCTAGTCCCCAAACTAGGGAGTAGTTGTCCCCCGGTGTTTTGCGTAACTAGATCACAATTATTTCGTGGTACATAGTGCGGGTTTAAAACTATTAAGTCGTATAAGACCTTAAGTATGCGTGAATGTATTAGACCGGGAGATAGTGCCACAAAATATTCGGTCATTTGTACCAGTTGCAGTATGGCGATTCTTCAGGGGTCTTATTACGCAATGAAAAAAAGAAAAAATGATGGTCATAGCGCTGGTAACGGCGGCCCAATCGCGTGGGCGTTAGTCGAACTCGTCGAATTAATTACGAGTGTCAAACGATTTGTTCCACAAAAATTCTAGTATTTTCCGATGGTCCATAAAAATTAAGAGGCGGCAGTGTCATGCCATACTTCTCCGGTGTGACTTACAGCCCGCCATACCGACGCGAATGCTTTCATTTAAAAAAAAACAACCATTTGTACCAGGCTAATTTTTGCACAGTTAATCATGGTCGTGCAGTCATTTACAAAAATCACCATGCCATACTTTTCGGACGGTTCCAAATGGCCGCCATACCGCCGAACAGTTTTTTTTTGCCAAACGATTTGACCAGCCTAAATTTTTTTATTAGAAAATTCTCAGTCTTGCTAAACCTGTCGCAAATATATAGTTCTGAGGAGACGGTTAAGCATCAAAATGATAAACTGGTGGCGACTGGAGAAATCAGATTACATATGATTTCGTTCTATGAGATGAGGGGAAGAGTTGCAGATGTATATATTTACCCAAGTGTAAAATGTAGATATACAATTTTGTTAGGTGTAGAAATTGATTACAATATTTTCTTCGAAACAGACTAAACATTTTCATAGATTTAGTGAAGCTTTCTGACTTCCGGTTTCCTTAATAGCTCGGATGTTGAAATTCGGGATAAATCAATAGATAAGCTTACACGTGCCAGATTTAGTTATCTTTATAATTGGCTAAGCGGAAATTCGTTCTGTTCTATTAATTGGTATTTTTGCGAAGAATTTTTTTTTATTTACACATAATTATTGTATCTCAACAGTTACTATTAATGCAATAGAACTACACAATAATACATGCACCGATAATCCTACTATTAAAAATCAATTTAAAAATACATTGTAAATTCTTTATAACGAATTTCAAGGGACCAAGTTTTTTTTCGTTACAGAGAGCGTTCGTTATACGTTAGAGAGAAGAAAAAACAAATTTAACCAATTAGAACAGTTTCAAAGTTTGTTTACGACTAATAATTTACGATAGGTGACGATGGTGCAACTAAGACCAAAATTTTCGACAACACACAACAGGCAATGTAATCTCAGAATATATATGTGAAAACAATTACACTTAATGGTCTGATTTGTTAACCGAGATGCTAAATTAATGAAATTTATTTATTTTGTAATAGAGATAATCCATGGCTGTTACGATATAAAGGGTTGCCTGCAAATTTCCCAGAGTATTTTTTAAAAAATTAAAAAAAAATATTTTTTTAATCACGTATGTGGTTTTGTGTCAATCGAAAGTAAACCAATCAAAAATTTGGTTTTTTTTAATCACTTACTTTATATTTAAAATTTTTTTTTTTTTACGTTATAAAGAGTTTACACTGTTTAATATCCCTATTAAAAATATGTGAAAAAGTTTTAAAAAATTTATATACCTAGATGCTTTATAAAATTTTTATTTTATATTATGGGTCTGTTAGCGGGATCTTATATTAAGTAACTTCTTGTGAAATTTCTTTGTAATAGACATGCCAGTTACGATATAAAACAAATAGGTCTAACCCTCAACTCTAGAAATTGATACTATTTATTATTTCTATTATTTGTTTTGCTCGCGCGAGTGGCGCTTCGATAACCAAGTTGGAGTGTGCGCGCGGTACATCAAAAAGTTTAGGTTCCGCCTCAGGTTCTGGCTTGGAACCCGTAGACACAATCTCTCCATTACATCCAGATTATAAACCCGACCCGTAAGTATCCTAAATAAGTACACTGACAAAGTAAGCTCTATTTTGAGGCGTAGCTGAACTTATTACGGCCTGGCCACGGGGATCGGCGGTGCGAATGGCGAAGCGGGAGGCGAGGCGACCATTCACGCGGCGCCGTTTGCAGGCCACGCACCAGTCACGTGTGCTGCCGCGACCAGTAAGGAAGTTCGACAGCGAAATGTCTTTATCGAAATTATCTCGATATTGCTTGGAAAGTAAATTTGGTTCAAGACCTAATATTTGGAGGAGATTGTGGAGACGATTTAAATAAGAATCGAGGTATAGAATTGCACAAGAAGTACGAGAAATACAGAATATATCCAGAAAATTTTTTTGAGCATACCAGAATGAGTATTGAAACCTTCGATTATATTCTTATAAATATTCAACCAGAATTGGAAAAAAGATAATGCAAATAGAATTTTAAGTGCCGCTGAAAAATTGTTTTTGACATTAAGGTTTATTAAATATATGCTGTGGATGGTCAGACTTCCAAATAACTAGTTTTTCCAGTATTTCAGTAATAAAAATCTCTGTGTTCATTTTTCGCCAAACGACTAAACTTATTTAATCCCTGCTCTATTCGCCGCGACTGCCGCTCGACTCCGTGGCTTGCGCCGTACTGATTCATGCCTTTGTTTCGTTCGCCGGCCGCGACGCCAGTCGCCCGCGCGATTCGCTCGGTACATTTCGCCGGTCGCCGTTGCGCGTGGCTTGATTAGTACATTGCTATGAGTTTATATCAGTCGCTAGACGCTTCGCCGTTCGCTCCGCGCGAATAATCGCAGTGGCGAATGTACCGTGGCCAGGCTGTTATATGGCTGATTGTGCGGATTTTTTTATAATTAATAAAACTTCAGGAGACCAAAAACAGAAATCTATATCACTTGTGTCATTTGATGTCGGTAAAGTAACAATGATCAGATAGACCTTGCTAGAAGATAAGATATTTCTGGCAAACGATTATGATAATATTGTGATTATCTGTATACAATTTTAAGTTCAAAGTCCCATGTCCCATTTGTACATATTTTTTTACGTTTTGTAATAAAGTTTATATAATGGTAAATTAATATCATTATTGTAAATTTAGAGCAAGCCAATCACGAAATTACGTTGTTTTCTTCATCGGTAACAGAATTGAGATTTCAGCGGTAATATAGGAAGAGCAGTTCGGCTGTGCTCAAAAAATAAAAATCGTGATTAATCCGGCATGACTTAGGGCCAACCATTGACGGCGTTTGTCAGGCATAGGAGGTTGATACACTCTCAAATACAGAGTGTATTATATACTACACCCATACACATAATTTCACGCACATTAAAGGTCTTCTTTTGTTTTATGATATGTAATAATAAGACTACTTTTACTTTAAAAAAAGGTTTTGAACATGCACAATGGAATAATTGTAATATAACACAGGGGCTCCTTTGTGTGGGTTACATGAATTTTGTCACAACTATATAACCCTACTTGTCTTTGAGAAAAAACAAATGATTTTGAGACAGATACAGAAATCTGAGGTCCTGACTTAAAAGAATGCCAAAGAGGCATGAGGATTTTTTAAATTTCTGAAGATATCTTTCGACTTATTTGTTTGATTCAAGTCAACTCAGGAATAATTACAGCTCAGTTTTACATGGCTTTACCAACTTATACATTTGGCTAAGAAAGTTTAATTTAATTTGAAAGTTCGTTTACTTATAGCTGATGCATTATTAATTACGGAGTATTTGCCAGTGAACGAACTACTAATATTAATTAAAACCATATTTACTTTACTAGATTTGTCTAGACTTAAGTTTGTGTGGCTGATCAGTCTTAGTGGATTTGAGAGTGATAAGTAAGTTTCTGGATAAACCAGAAAAAAAAACCAGCAGCACTACAATCTTTTTAGATCGGGGCCGAAGATTTCTGTATCTCTTTCATGATGATCTGTCAATCTAATAGGCAAGCTGGTTTCCTCACGATGTTCTTCTTCACCGTTCGAGCGAATGTTAAATGTGCACATAGAAAGTCTATTGGTGCACAGGGATGAGAGTCTCACGCTGAAGGAACAAGACCAACACTGCTATTGGTGTATATAACATATAATTAATTAATTAATATTTTATTAATTTATAATTTATTAATTTATAATTTATTAATTTATAATTAATTAATTTATATTTTATTAATTATTGATTATTAATACTTTGTTGCTGAGTATAAAAAAACATCAGATAAATGAGAAGGAGGGACAAAAGCCTAAAAATCTATGGAAAAGTGCGAACCGAATTTACATTTATAAATATGAAATAACAAAGTATAACAATTTACAATTGCTAAACTAACTACTTAAACTAAGTGATTACCAAGTTTTAAAATACATGTAATGAAATGATATTTCAATAATTTGAATTTGACGTGTTACAAGTTGTCTGTAAAGTGGTTAAACTAACTACGTTAAATGACTAATGTGATTGACCTAAGTTTTAAAATAGATGTAATGATATAATAAAAACTGTATTTCGAGAAAAATAATTTAAATTTGTTAACGCGTTACCCTAGTTAAAAGTTGTTTTTAAAAGATGCCTTTGTCAAAACTAGAAATAACAAGTGAAAACTAGAATTTACCACTGATAGAGGACATTTTCTGATAAAACAGGTCACTCCGAGTAGTTACAAACTAGCGCAGATAAGAATGGTCGGATGAACTTTTAAAAATTTTTACAAAAAAACTCAGGGTTTTAAAAAAAAAAACCCGCCCCCGTAAAAACTAATAAAGTAGGGAATAGCATAAAGTAGTTGCCAAGGTACAACATTAATTAAAAGTAAATAAAATAATCAAACAAATCAACAGATTACAACCATAAAATTTAGAATTATAATAATATTTTTAAGGGTATTGGTAATAAAAACAAACAACCTTAAATTAAAAGAGATCTCTTGTTTTGCAAGACAAACTTTCGTGCCTTTTAGATTAAAAGGATAAGCTTTTAGAGACACTTGACATACATCCTTTCTTACATACGCAGCGCATAAACCCCGGGCCTTTTCCTATGGATGCTTCCCAACCAACAGTCTCCAACAAAATTTTTTTTCTAAACGCCTTTCTCCCCCATAAATGTTGTTTCTGAACTTGTCGAATTTCAGCTGAGAAGTAATTGTTAAATAGTTAGACCATTACCTAAAGTGGCAATATAATTATATGATAAAACAATTAAGCAACTCATGAATATAATATCAAAATAATTTGTATTCCATATTTCGTTCCAATCTTGTGAAAACCTTGTTCATCCTTTTGAAGAACCACTCCGACAAAGTTAATTTTTGTGATTATTTTTTTGTATATTTCCAATTCCCTTAAAAATATATTATAATGTTCCTTTTTTAAATTTTATGGTTGTATTCTGTGATTTGTTTATTATCTTATATACTTTTAATATATATATATATTATATCCTAATTCCTAGTTAAGTTTTTTTACTAGGTACGGTACTATGTTTCTATACCCTAGATTCTTTTTAATATTTTTAAAACTTTATCTTGTTTTCAATCCCAAAATTCAAATTAGTTTCTCTAGTGCTAGTTTCAGCTCGGGAGAGACACGGTTTTAGCAGAAAATGAATTACATCAATGGTAAATTTTTTTTTTTTTTTTTTTTTTTTTTTTTTTTTCAAAATTTTTTTTTTTAAAATTTTTTTTTTATAGGAAAAAAATTTTAAAAAAAAAAATTTTTTCTGTATAATCAAAGAACATTTTTTTTTTCAGATCGGTGCAGATGGACGTCGTAGCCAAATATTCCTGGCGATGTCTACAGCTGCTGAGTTCCGCGACCACCTCTCGAGCTTCAGCGACTATTACTCGTCCCTTGGCCCGCCTAATCCTGAAAATGTGCCTGATGATGGGAAACTCAAGTCCGAGATGATGTTAAAGGTAAGTTTTTGGTTGACTAATCCTAGTTGAAACTAGAAGAGAAATTTACGATTGAGGTGGAATGTTTTATATCAGTTATTTTAAAGGTTGATGGAATGTATGCAGAAAATTGTAATCTTTTTGTTTCAGCTTGATTTTTAATTGCTACTTTTAGCGACCTAAAGAATGTTAATATGCCACTTATCTGCTGTCATAAACTTTGTCTTATTAAAGTAGATCAATCAATTATTTATTTCTTTACAGCATACATAGGCCAAATTTTAATTATTATACATTATGCTATTAAAATTGATTTTTATATTACCAGCAAACCGTTTGCTATGCAATAATCTTTTCTTATTAATCAAAAGTGTAGATGGGTACCAAGTACTCCTATCTCTACAAGATATATTTTAGACATAGATGTACTTGCAAATGCTGATAATGAACTGAGAAAACAATTGCTATCTAAGTAAAATTGTTTCACTTAAACTTCTGCCTCATAGGGCACCAACCAAGTATTTTGGTAAAAAACTGTAGTTTGTGATGATATTTACTACAGAAATTGGTTCTATTAATATCACTCCTGATAATCAAATCAGTTACCTACACACAGACAATACACATGTTTTATAAGATTGTTGAGTGTTTTGTCCTTATAGCTTATTAATTTAAAATAATTTCCAGGACAACAGGAGATACTATCTTGACCTTAAAGAGAATTCTCGCGGGCGTTTCCTACGCGTTTCTCAGACGATCACACGCGGTGGACCGCGCAGTCAGATCGCGTTGCCTGCTCAGGGAATGATTGAGTTTCGTGATGCTTTGACTGATTTGTTGGATGATTTTGGCACTGATGATGGGGGGGTAAGTTCGTATAAAAACTGCATAGCTAGGGAGTGGCTCACAGAATTGTAATTATGATTCTATAGTTATTATACATTTAAGCCAAAATACATTTTGATAGCAATTAATAAATATAGTTTTCACTTTGGAATAACACTTAAATTATTTCAGTCAATTACAATCTTTATCATGTTAGTCCCGATAAGTAAATTCTCTTTAGAAAATGTAGTTACCATATTTGTGTAAAAACTTTACAGCAGAAAAGAAATTCTGCAAGAACTAGCAAGAACGGAAGCCAAATGTTGTTCTTCATTACTTTTCACTGTAACTTCTATTTTAATATTAACATTTAAATTTAAAGAAATTATTAGGAAACATTAATTTATTTTGGCATATAACTATTAATCACTTGGGATATAATTATTTACCATTTTCATATACCTCAAACCATACATTAAGTAAAGTTGGAAATTTTCTTTAATTTAATAAAACTAGTGTGACTGTGACAGTAACATTTGATCACACTTAACCCTGTGAAGCAGTGTTGGCCTTAAGGTGCGCTTACACGAGGGCAATAATTGCGGCGACACGAATGGACCGATCTGGAGCAATTAATGGAGCAATTTCAAAAAAACTATTTCGGCGATATTGCTTCTAATTGCTCCAGATATTTCATATCGCTCAATGTCGCAGATACGAATTGACGATTATCCAATGGACTTAAAAATTCCTAGCAATTTTTGTATATATCTCATTCGCACTTGTTTGTTTTGCTTGCCGTCTTGCTTCCGCGGGGAGAGCGAGAGGTTTAAATAATAATAATTTCTAATTACTTTATTCAAAAGTAATTCAAAGTCTGTTCGTGACATTCTAGTAAAGTTTTTGAATAATATATCATCTAATTCTTTACACAATGAAAATTGCGGCCTCTTTGCCAAAAACGATCGCACCCAGATACGCCTATTCCTTTTCTTTCTTTTGTGTTTTTGATTAATAATAAAAAAAAGCGCTTCAAGCCGCCGCAGCAAGAACAATGTCGTCCATAGCGAGCGAATACTGAACTGCTCGTGTAGGACAGTATTGCCTAGTTGATGAAGTTGCGCCAGTATTGATGCTTGTTGCCGTTGCCGTAAATTGCTTGATGTAGTCGTGACGTCATAGTTGACGAATATTGACTGGAATTGAGCAATTTTAGTTGCCCGTGTAAGCGCACCTTAATGGCTTCAGCGCGCGACTCTCATCCCTGAGATCGTATGTTCGATCCCCGGCTGTGCACCAATGGACTTTGTATGTGCGCATTTAACATTTTCTCGAACGGTGAAGGAAAACATCGTGAGGAAACCGACATGTCTTAGACCCAAAAAGTCGACGGCGTGTGTCAGACGGCTGATCACCTACTTGCCTATCAGCTTTAAAAAATATCATGAAACAGATTCAGAAATCTGAGGCCAAGACCTAAAGAGGTTGTAGCGCCACTGATAACCCTGTGAAGCCCACCAACTGTGAAGCATGTTAATTTACAGAAAAGTTTTAATATTTTAATTAAATTACATATGTATTCCATTAATCAACATTATGTATTACCTCTTCTCACAATTTGTTCATGAAAGAAAGAGTTTCATTTTGTGGGTCTCTTCCTGCAATCCTACACGTACACAATTTACTGCAATAATAAAATTTCGTATTGAAATTTCCTTTATCTGTTTAAATTAAAATGTAGCTGAAAACTCGAAGACGGCTGGACTAATTTGAGCATTTTTTAAATTTATTCTGAAAAAATTTGAAAAAGCCAAAATTTTGTTTTATTTAGTATTTTGGTTTTTATCCTGGAAAAGCAGTCACATGGGGTAGCATAGCAAAATGTTCCATATGTTGGTATGTAGCTACTAAAATGGTAAGCTAAGTAAAATAGTCAAAGTAAGGCGAAACTAAGTTCGCCTGCTGCAGAGGCAGCTTCCAATAAATTATATCTAATCTCGTGAACGAATACATGAAATTATGATAAAGTTTACTATGCTTAACGAATTATAAAAATAAGGTCATCTCCTGTTATCCCTCGCTCTTTAATAAATTTGGAAATAATGTTTAGGTACAAAGGCGAGCTCCCCGAAGGGCGCCACCTCCGCGTTGACAACAAGAATTTCTACTTCGACATCGGACAGAACAATCGCGGGATATACATGAAAGTCAGCGAGGTTGTACCTTCGTTGCAAGTAATTCCTAACACAATACGGTTTTACTAACATTTTTGTATTCATTTTGATGTTGTATTTAGTTAAACATTCGTAGACATAAAATTGGTATTGTTAGTTTCTAATAATTCCTTCTTCTGAAGTGAAGTCTTCGGAATAAAAAATATTTTTGTTGGGCGTTAATTCTTAAAAATGTATTTGATGTGTCAAATCGTTCATGTATTCAAATATTTATTATAAATTGTCCTATGATATGCCCTAAAATAAAGGATACATAAATAGATTAAAGATGTTTGTCTATCTATCTATCGCAGCAAAAATGCAAATTAGAAGGATTCTAAAAAATATGGTTTTAAAAATATTAAGAATATCTACTACTAACCTTAAATAAGTATTTGTTTTTTAGTTTTAAGTGACTTCATAAAAACCGAATGTTTTTGTAAGAAGATTCCATATTTTAGGTGAAAAGCAATTTCCGTACAGCGATCACGGTGCCAGAGAAGTGTTGGTCTCGTTTCCGGGACATAATGGCCGAATACTGTGATAAGATGGGACGTGCGCAGCTCTCCCCGCCTACACACCAGGTAAGGGGCTTAAAAAGTATTTTATATGGAAAATGTGCCTTGAACGAATTCGCCTTCCTTCCGGGGTTAACATAAGGTCGCAGGTTCGAATCCCTTGCAGCGATAGATTTTTCTATTTATTTCCATAATTATTGCCGCAAATCACGATTCCCGTAAATCCGATACTATTTAGAACTTCGCCAACTCGCACTTGGCCAGGAGGATGTTCTAATTTTTCTCAGCGATCGTTCTCTTTTCTGGGCTGTTACTTGTATGTATAATAAACTTAACAAAACTCTAAATATATATCCTAACACTAAAAAATGTGTAAAGCAAATAGTTCATAAATTTTTACTTACTTTGAACTATGACCGAACGGAAAACCTGCTAGATATATTAAAATAATTTTCACATATGTCCCCAGGCTGTTTCTTCCCCCCGACAAATACCTTCAACTATCACATTACACATCACTACACTCCACTACATACACCACACACACACACACACACACACACACACACACCCCCTCACATACCCATACAACTTATTTGTGCTATTTTATAATATTAGTTGACTTTTTCTTTTTCTCTCTTTAATTAAAACGTTAATTTGTTTGCCTACCCATATATGTATGTACTTTTTGGAAACACTCAATGTGACTTTGCTGTGGAATGGAAGCCTGGTTATCCATATCACAGGTTCCTAGTTTGGAAACCAGTCTCCCAATGCCTTCTCAACTGTTATCTTATTGTTTGTTGTAAACATTACTTGACAATGCCTCTGCTGCACTTCGTTGTTGCCTCAATGAAATTCGCGTTTATACCAGTTATCTTAATATATATAAATTACGCGTCACGTTGTTTGTCCGCTATGGACTCCTAAACTAATTAACTGATTTCTATCAAATTTGCACACCGTGTGCAGTTTGATCTAACTTAAAAGATAGGATAGCTTACATCTTAATTTATACCCGCAATATTATTTTATTGCAAATTATTTGTTTATTATTTGGCAGTCACAATTCTAACAGATGGCGCTGTGTTGAAAGTACAAAGTTTCACATAAGCTACAATTTAATGGCATAACCACCAAAAAAGCATGGTGGTCCCCATGGCTGGTGTTCTCCTACCGTTTCCCTTGAATAGTTTACTACTATGTAATATAACAAAAACCTTAGCCACAGCAACGCTTGGCCGAGTCCGCTAGTTTTATATTAAACAATTGTTACAGGGCGGCAGTGGTTCTGGAGGTAGAGCCGGCAGTGCGCAGCCTGCACGGGAAATGGTAAATATTATTAATGCGGAACTGAGTTTTGGTTATGGTCGGCTTGATACGTAGATATCATTGGAAGAAGTTTGATCATCTGATTTGTATACGTTTGGGTTACGTAACTGCACTAAATTTTTTAATAGGAACACTTTAATTCCAGGACACATTTGGCGGAAACGGCGCGAGTCGGATTTGATGCGATCACTTCGGCTACTTCCGGCCGTGAGCCCTGTACATACGCCCTTTAGGAATAAGATGATGTGATAAACTGTTTGAGCTTTATTACATTTCGTTTGATTCGGTTTCGCGTCGCGCGGCGTCATCGGTTTACTGCATTTAGGAAGGATTTTTGACATATTTTTGCTTAAACCCATCTTTCTACCGGTAAAAAGTTCTGTTCGCACTTCAGTTCGTTAAATCTTGTTAGTTTTTCTCATTTAAATCACTTTTAAACTGATTTTTGTACAATCTATTACTAATTAAATAATTATTTTTAATACTTCAAAAATTAATATTAATCCTTCTTAATAAGCAATATCTGATCTTCAAACTTTTGTTTTGGCAATAATTTTACAATTAAAAAACTTATGTAATTGGAAAGATGCACATGCTTCAGTACTAACCGGTTTTAAAACCAAAAAATCGCCGCAAACTAAAGCTAAGCTTTATATTCGTTCTAAACGATTTGTGTTGTAACGGAATTATAATTCCATTTGCATTCCTATATCTACATAACTCGTAACGGATCGCTATTGTCTATTTCTTTTTTAATACTTGACAAGTTTCAAAACGATCCGTTTTGTTATTTATTTATGGGAAACGTCAATTTAGCCAGGGCAACGCTTGACCTACATGAAATCTGGCGTTAAATTTAACAGCCACGTTAGTTTAAGGTGTATTTTCGTTTATTTCATTTTGTCTGTGTACGTAGTATACCGACAGGAATAGTTGGGGGGTAATGTGTATACATTAATTAATATGTAAATCCGATAAAATACATTAGAGATCTTCTAAAGGTTTATCGTCAAGTTGTAATAGATTTAGAGTCTGGGTTATATACCTGGATGATTTTTATTAGTTTGATAGCCTCTTCTAACGTCTAGCTCGCGTTAAACGGGAACAGCAATTATAATTCCTGTGTATGTACACATTACCCCATTGAGTGGAGACATTGGGTGTTTACATGGCGAGTATTAAATCAGCCGCTCTGCCGTTTACCGCTCTTTACTAAACGTTAACACGTGTACGTCACACGTGTACGTCACACGTGTACGTCACACGTGCACGTTCTAACGTGCCCATTGAACTAATATGCAATCAATCAATATCAAATTCCTCTTATATTCTCTTCTAATTTCTACCCCGACTATTCTTCTTGTATATTTTCTTTGACTAACTTAACATGTTTCCCACCCATTACCATTTCCTACACATGCATCAACACTACCTGTTTAAACATATTCCATACATTTTGCTCGTCTACTAAAAGCGGTCAGCGGTAGGGCGGCGGCACTCGTTAATAATATAAGTGACGCTGCTGTGATACTCGTAGTCGAGAAATGTACGTACGAACGCGTCCGTGACACTCCCAATATTAAACTGAACTTAGTTTTAGTTATACCAGGTCTAGTCGATAAGTTTTATTTAAAATTATTTCGTACCTTCAAAAAGGACTTAATAAGATTTACAATAACTTAAATATATGTTATAACCTTAAAAAAGTGATACTCTTATGCTATATATTTGGTGGTAATTCTACTGACTAACACTGTTCAGTTAAATGGTATGAAATAATTAAATGTTTGGATTAAATCCACCCAAATCGTTGTTTTCAAATTAAATTTGGATTTTTTGGTTTGGGTTTTTCAAAATTATCCGCCTATACGCGACACGAACGCGTTCGTACAGAGGGTAGTTTAAGATTGGTTTGTAAGCACCCTGTGTGACTCGTAATCGCTTGTGCAAAAATCGATTGAATTCTAAAATCTTTCATGATTTATAAAAGCTATTACGCGTCGAGTCGTGAGTTGGTGTTTGTATATATTATGTATGCGCGGGCGCAATAGTTTAAGGCGTACGTGCGTCGGGCGTGCCTTTTTTCGTCGGACGTTTTTACCCTCATTTGACGTCGACGTCGCGCCATGCTTTTTCCACCCCTTACATTAATGAAAGAAAAAATAAAAAATGCAGCAAAAAAAGGTTTAGGCTGTTAAGTGTTTACGGTAAGTAGGAACGTAGTTGTCTACAGTCTACGGCTCGACTCATTTTGTTAATTACGTACACTACAATTTTTTCGTGTTACCGCTTCGCTTTTTCATGGCAACTAACGATAGGAAACCTGTATCGATAGACAGGAAAAGTCTTACATTTTATACTTCGTAAAATGGCCTCGAAAATCTAAACCTCTATTCATATTAAATGTTGATATTCAAACATTCAAACATAGTAATTTCTTTTTCGATACGGGTTACTTCTTGCGTCATACGTAATCATATACTTTAAGCGTATACTGTCCTCTGTTATCTTTACTATATTGGAGTATATTGTAGTTGTCGGTCATCGAAACACTTTACCGTATTGAAGTACGCTTATCTAAGCATTAATTTAAGTTTGAACGCAGCTGAATTTTGGTTTTGTGTTATAGGTCCGTGCATGTTGACTGTATCGTTATTTGTAAGCTTACGTGCGCCATCAAATTTAGACTTGCAGCTCTGGTTTTGTCGTGAAACGCATGTGTATCGAAATGATTAATGCGTTTCGCCGTGGATTTGAGCTAATTTAACTTAGACCCTAACAGATAGTAGAAATAGATGACTTTTTAGATTGCATCCGATCCGATGCAGTCAATACTTACAGAAAACAGATGCAGTCTTATCTCTAGACACTTAAATGGCGTCATCATGAAGTTTCATAATTATTGATTGACGAGATATGGCCATATTTATTAAACTTCAGGTGTCTGCAATTTTGTTTATTCGTGAAACAGAGTGAAATAAGTTGGTTACGTCCGATAACTATAACAGATAGATGTGAAAAATAAAAATACATATAAAAATCACTTCTCTATACTAATATAAAGTAGATTTATGAACGGAGCGAGTGCGGCGTTCTCATACTATCGTAAGTTAGTTATAGTTTTGTTTTAAGATGGGTCGACGGACTTAAAAAATCCATAGAAATCTGACCACGAACGGTCCAGGCACTGCCCTTTATCCAATAGGATTAGAACTTTTATCATCACACAGCAATTAAGATTTATTGAAACGTCGCCCCATCATTTGTGGTATATCTTGTTCCTTTATTCGTTTAATAGTGGTGTGCGGACGGAGACGCGGCGCGAACATAGTCCAGTGTTCTGTATCGCTTGTCATGTGTTACTGAGGGCTCGTGGGGAGGCGCATTTGCCTCACACCCTGCCGGGTTATTGAGATAGCCGTTTTACTCAAGTCGTTCAAGTATTTTATGCGAAACTAAATCATTGTGACAAAACCCCATAGTCTAAAGCTAGACACCATTCGTAATTGTCACATTCCCTTCCCAGTGCGGCATTTCTCTTTAGAACGGCAGATTAGTACATCTATCACACTTTATTATTAACTTTTAGATCATAAGCGAAAGCACGAGGCGTAAAGTGCGTCTTCCCACGACCGTGGCTTAATTTTAACAAACTTTATGGTACAAAATGTAATTTTAGTTCCATAGACGTTTAAGATTAACAGAGTTTATATTTAGAGAAGATATCGATATTATATATTCCCATTTCGGTCTTTCGACCGTCGTCAATATAACTTAATGTACAATGAGATATATGGAGTAATATAGAGTCTATATGTTAATGAAGCTAGTTATCGCGTGAGTTCATTACGTCGGCAATAGGCAGTAGTGCGTGATTGTGGGTTACGCTACGGGTTCATTGATTTTCGGAAATTTTCTGTACCGATGAATCGGCGGTTGTTTTGTACTATCCGGATCGAAGGACCTTTTTTGACTAATTTGTCTCAGTCATGATTAAGTTATCGTGTGTTTATGGTCCTAATTGAGAACGTGTTGTGGGTGATAATCGTGTGCCGTCGATTTAAGGACAGTTAGGAGCCGCACCGCCGAGTGGTCGAGGGCTGCCTCCTGTGATACTTGCGCCGCGCCCCTCTGATTCCGCACATTTGTCTCATCTATATTTAACCTATACTATAATGCAACTGATTCGGTGACGTCTATATATGGCCATAGGTCTTAAATCTAAAAATCCTTCCTTAGCTTCAAGGGTTCTCCATAATTTGATGTCATTGGAGTTGTATGGATGTCACCGGATCAGGTATGATTGTGTGGTTGAGGTTGATAGTCAATTATACTATTCATAAGTTGCGCAGTTGTTGTCTTCACTTGTCAAAATCACTGAGAAACTGTAAAAAGTTTAAACCATGATGGAATAAAATGAGATCTCACAGTTTCTTGGATAACGGATTGTGAATGATGTTATATTTGACATGTTCGGGGCCTGTATTTTATTGGATCATGCTTTCAACTAGGCATTACGCATGCGTATAGTTGATTAAATTAAAATAACCCTATCTATAGACCGTTTGCAGTTAAAGTGGTGACAAGACACTGCGCCCGCGACGCACTCGCTCTAAAGAGTTAAACATACATAAAATAGGTACACTATAGATACTAAATGACAACTACGAAACGTAAAATAAAAAACTAAAAAAAAGTAATAAATTTAAAAATTCAGAGAGTTATAATAGTACGTTAGTTTTAATTACCTAATTATATTTCTGATATTGATTGATGTTTTGCTAAAAGATAATTTATCTGTACGTTACGTTTGATCGCGTGGATTCGCTCTGCCGTCGCAGCCTCCGCCGCGCGTCTTTGTTTCTTAAAACCCCGAATACACTACCTGGTATTTGAAGTACTGAAGTGGAGTCATCGCAGAAGTACATCAGGTCCCGGTCCAAGTTCTGACTTATAACGACTATTTTGAAACATCTGAAACGTACAAATGTAGTAATTATAAGTCAGATGTTTATTAAAACCGAATCAACATCGTCAAATTTTGTGAACTGTTACGGCAAGTACGTGAGCGGTGATTGAAACGATGTGATTCATGTTATTTTCTAATATCAGTTATTTTATGTATAAGCCGAACGATCGTAGAAGCACCAATAAGTTGCCGGGACGAGTTCCTTTCAAAGT